ACGGTATCCGGCCGGATAGTAAATTTAGGCCGGATATCCGGCCTACCGGATAGTTACCGGATATCCGTTTCATCTCTACTATAGACTTATGTATTATTTATGTGGTAACACAAATCCCACTACGTAATCCACATATTGATATATGAAACCATGCAATATAGAGCGAGGCAATCACAATTTTAGCTAATAAAAACATTAACTTTACTTCACCGTGTCTTGTTTCTGACACTATACCTTTTAAAACATTTGTCCAATTTCGAATTATCGGAACACTGAAGTTTATTAATAGGTACTTTGGAGATGGTACGAAATACAAACACCACTATAGTCTTTTTCACCTAAGATGATCCGTACCTCTAGTAGGAAAAACTTTCGAGTTCGTTTCGTTGCGTATTCAAAGTGTCATCGAAAAATTTTGTATGAAAAATTAAACAGCGCCCCCTATATTATAGCCGCCCTAGGGGGCGCTGTTTAATTTTTCATACAAAATTTTTCGATGACACTTTGAATACGCAACGAAACGAACTCGAAAGTTTTTCGTACTAGAGGTACTGAGACATTTTGAAGTAGTATGACCATATTGAGGATATATCTGGGACTTTCTGTGGGACCTTACTTATCTAATTTTGCATAATGTTTTCTACGGCCGTTTACTGTAATCAATCCATATCCAAATCCGTCTGTCAACTGCCAAATTAAAATCTGTTTTCTATCAAATATCCACAGTTTTCGATGCCTTTACACTTTCTTAATGTTGTAATTCATCTTAAAACAAAAACATCGAAAACCTTTTTTCATAATCATATTAAGTGCACTTTATCAAGACACACTGTTTAAACGTAAATCAGTCGTTGTCGTCCTGAGAAAAATAAATAAAAGGTTACCCTACTTAGAAAGAGAGAGCCTGCCCACAGAGAGCGAGATAGTGATACATAGGTTGTGCTTCAAGTAGGTATTATAAGTCTGGCCTCCATTTTTATCTTTAGCTTCATGATCACAACACAAAACAAACAGCAAAAAAAGTTGACAGTCATTTTTTTAAATTAGATTCACAGACAAGCAGACAGACGACTTGAACCAAATATCCAAATTCAATACAATTATCGATTATTTATGACGTACAAAGAACACGATGCTATTACGAATACGATCCTATGCTTTAATATTTTATAATATCTCGGGTAAATCAACAAAAAAAAAAACTGACTTTGCAAAATGTCATATAAACTCTCCAGCTAGTCTGTGGCAATCATGAAGCTACAGATAAAAATGGAGGGCAAAGTTGGGAACAAAACTTGAGTCAAATACCTACTTATATCTATCTCGCTCTCTGTGGCCCTACCTCTCTTTTTAGTGTGAACTGTAGTATTGCTATCTTCTTATTTAAATCTCCTTGTAAATTCTTCGAAATAGCCAATTCACTAACCAAATAAGAAGTTAAATAAATAAATAATTAATATTTGAAACTTAGATTACCTAGTTAAATAAAAAATCACAAAATTGTCGGCCATTTAGGCTTAATGTGTTGGCGAATCAGGGAATTACAATCCCAATTTCTGAGGTATCGGTAATGTGGCAACATCGGCCGAATCCGGCCCATCATGGCGGTTGTTTACTATGCAGTTGATTTCGTTTGAGATTTTTCAAGGGACCTTATCATTGTTTTGTCTGAAGAAATGGTGCAAAATTGTATAGTGCGTGGTTGCGGTAGTTCGTGTTGTCCTGGAAGTGATATAAAATTCCACGCGTAAGTGTTTATTTCGTGATTTCTGACAGTGGATCATTGTTAACATATTTCTTTGTATTTTCACAGTAATTACTTCCTAAAACGTTTTACCAGTATTTAAACTTATTATTAAATGTTACATATGTCAAGAAAAAGAAGATTTTACATTGAGTTTCATTGACTTTGAGCAAATTTAAAATTTTTGTTTCTATAAGACATTTTGAAGTAGTATGACCATATTGAGGATATATCTGGGACTTTCTGTGGGACCTTACTTATCTAATTTTGCATAATGTTTTCTACGGCCGTTTACTGTAATCAATCCATATCCAAATCCGTCTGTCAACTGCCAAATTAAAATCTGTTTTCTATCAAATATCCACAGTTTTCGATGCCTTTACACTTTCTTAATGTTGTAATTCATCTTAAAACAAAAACATCGAAAACCTTTTTTCATAATCATATTAAGTGCACTTTATCAAGACACACTGTTTAAACGTAAATCAGTCTTTGTCGTCCTGAGAAAAATAAATAAAAGGTTACCCTACTTAGAAAGAGAGAGCCTGCCCACAGAGAGCGAGATAGTGATACATAGGTTGTGCTTCAAGTAGGTATTCTAAGTCTGGCCTCCATTTTTATCTTTAGCTTCATGGTGGCAATTTAGCAAAATGTCAAAAAAGATTTTTCCCGGTGATTTTCTTTGTTGGTTTGGTTGATTCACGTTACAGGAAAATAAGAGTTTTTAATTCGCTAATTAAGTGCTGAGTCTACAAATTTCGTTTTATAACTATCGAGATAATTGTAAGTAATCAATTTTATTTTTATAATTACGTATTGCAGTACTTCTGAATTTTCATAGCAAGGAACGTGTTGGTACTTTCTCTTACAACTTTTTAGTATTTAATTCTTGTAAACACGTTTGTATTTTGCGCCTTGCTTTCTTTATAAATGAGTAAAAATAAAAGAGTAAATTGCTTCATTTCTGTAGCACTGAGGTCCTCTCTACTATGGATGGTTAAGACGTGGTTAAGATAAGCTTCATAATGTAAACTTCATAAAAACATTATCCATAATTTCAGGTGTCATCATGGCGAATCAATGGGGCCAGAAAGCCGAGGAATTGGAAATTTCTAATAAAGTGGCTGGATTAGGATTAAAGAAAAATCATGACGAAACTACGGAGTCTGATGAATCTGTTGATGCAGTTAATCCAGCTGAAACATCACTTCTCATGAAGATAATACGTCAAGGCTTAGTGGAGTCAAAATTAGATATTGAAGTCCAAAGGAAAGATCCAAATTCACCCCTGTATTCTGTAAAAACGTTTGAAGCTCTGCATTTAAAACCAAATTTGTTGAAGGGTGTTTATGCTATGGGATTCAATGCACCTTCTAAAATTCAAGAGACTGCACTACCTACTCTATTGGCCGATCCTCCCCAAAATATGATCGCTCAATCTCAGTCGGGAACTGGTAAGACTGCAGCTTTTGTTTTAGCTATGTTGAGCAGAGTTGATACTTCAAAGAACTATCCACAAGTATTGTGCCTCAGCCCCACATATGAACTTGCAATTCAAACTGGAGAAGTTGCTGCCAAAATGGCTAAGTTTTGTCCAGAAATTAAGTTGAAATATGCAGTTAGAGGTGAAGAAGTGCCTAGAGGTACTAAAATATCTGACCACATTATTATTGGAACACCTGGAAAAATGCTGGATTGGGGTGTAAAATTTGGCATGTTTGATTTGAGTAAAATTAGGGTGTTTGTCCTGGATGAAGCTGATGTGATGATCGATCGACAAGGTCATCAAGACCAATGTATTCGTATACATAAATGTTTACCATCAACTTGTCAAATGATGTTCTTTTCTGCTACTTATGACAGTGCAGTGATGGAATTTGCTGAGATTATTGTGCCTAATCCAATCATCATTCGACTGCTTCGTGAGGAAGAATCTTTGGATAACATCAAACAATATTATGTTAAATGTAAAAGTGCTGAGGAAAAATATAGGGCAATATGTAACATTTATGGAGTTATTACCATAGGCCAAGCAATAATTTTTTGTCATACCAGAAAAACTGCTAGTTGGCTATCTGAAAAAATGTCAAAAGATGGACATTCTGTTGCTGTTTTATCAGGAGAACTTACAGTCGAGCAGAGGATAGCAGTGTTGGATCGCTTTAGAGCTGGTTTAGAAAAGGTATTAATTACTACCAATGTTTTGTCACGAGGTATAGACGTGGAGCAGGTGACTTTGGTAGTCAATTTTGATATGCCTATGGACATGAACAGAAAAGCTGATTGTGAAACCTACTTGCATAGAATTGGTCGCACGGGAAGATTTGGGAAGGCTGGTATTGCTATTAACTTAGTAGATTCGCCTTTAGCCATGGAGATTTGCAATGATATAGAAAATCATTTTGGTAAGAAAATTCAACTGCTTGATATTGAAGATGCAGAAGAAATTGAAAAGATTGGTGTTTAATGATTCAACAACTATTCTAGGTTTTGACAACCAAGTTTATTTTTTTACTTATTCCTTTACTTACTGTATTCACTTTAAGTAACATTTTGTAGACATAATAAAAGACGCTTTTTGGTACAATAGCCTTTAATTTTGATTAAATTATCTACTACATCAGTGTATGTTTTTGTAACACTATGAATATTATTATTTTTATCTTGCCCCTTGTGGTGCTTGTTCTGGGTTTGTTGCTCCTGATATCATCACAAAAATTGCAACTGGCACTATGTACATCCACTGTAAAGATATAACACAGGTTATGTACTATTAGATAGGGAAATGAGATTGTTATAAGGTCTATCAATGGAGAAGTTTCCAATTTTTTTCTATTAATAAAACTTGAAAATATAAGTAAAATCAATAATATAATAATTGTGAAAGAATCATTAAAGAAGTTGCGCATAACAAATATTTCGCGCCATTTGATCGGTGACGTCACGGCACTCATTCTGAGTACAAACAGTGAATCGACCCTGGACCAGCCCCCCTAGACAAAACGCACTTTTTGATCGAATCGAAAATCGAATCCGTCAAAACTCCATACAAAAAAGGGGCTTTTCGACCACTTTCCGACTGGTTTGCGATTATAATTTGCACTTTGTCTAAGGTCTAGACCCACAGTGCTGTTGACAGATCCAATTTTTAAAAATCTAGTAGTTTTTAATTTTTTAGCCAGGGTCACTCAAGATTCTTTCGTAGTGAAATTATTTTGTAACCTTTTTTTGACATATCCTAGCGCCGGTAGATAAAACGATATAGTGACGTCAAAATTGATATAACGCCGCGATAGCAGTATTATCACGGCGCGCATCTTAGCCCTGCTGGCCATATACAAGAAGAAAAAGACTGACATATATGTGTAGCGTCATTCTCAACAACGCGTTAAAACTAGAACGGTTGGTGGGAATTCAACGCACCGCCTATGTTTGATTTCCACGCGAAAATAATTATGTAGGTACTAATTTAAATAATTAATTTCTCAGCCATTTCTTGATGGATTTAAAAACAACTTCCTGTCTTTTTAGTTTTAGTCTATATTTTATTTAATCCCATTCAGTAAAATACAGGGTGTTTGGCGCATCGTGTGCCAAAATGATTTGGCGGATAGAATGGGTCATTTCCTATATTTTCAGCCCCCATAACACGTTCCATGCCAGGCGGCTACTTTTATATTATTTTTTTTAGTAATTTCACCAAAATACCCAAATCGCATCATTTAATTTCGATTTAAAAAAAAACTACTAGACGTAGCCTCAAAGTAAATATTTTGTTTTGACGTGCATTGATGTAGGGTTGCATCAAATCTAAATATACTGGCAAATATCATCTAGTTTTTTTTTGATTCAGCTTTGAAGTTTTCCGAAAAGTTAAAAATGAACTGAACATTTAAGTTTACATGGCTATAAATTTTTTTTTAAAAGAGATAGCGATCTTCGGATTTTATCAAAACTTCTCTAGTCTATCCCCATTCAAACGGTATACTAATCTTGTTTAAATAATAAAAACAACTTCACAAATTCCTTAAACTAGTGCATCGACTCTACTCGGACTGATTTGCGAAATTTGTGTTTATAGCCCCTTTTTGTGTGAATAGCACGTTAAATACCTACAGGTAAAAATTATTTATCTTATGCAATGTAAAAACCTTTTCCCTATCGTTTTTCAATGTGGATTTCTTGAAATTAAAGACGAAAATAATTATTTTGATCGTTTATTAAATTATTACAAATTTTGTTCAAAATGTCCGCCTCGGCAACGTATACACTCATGACATCTTCTTCTAATTTCGACTGTTGTCGTATGCAGGTTTATTTCTCTTTTTATTACTACAAAGGCGTTTTCTATTCGTGGATTGGAAGAGATGGCCCTATACCACTGTATATGCCTGCACGTTCCCCAGACCTAACTTCGTTAGATTTTTACGTCTGGGGACGAGCTAAAGAACTGGTGTACTTAATGGAAGTTCAAACAATAGAAGAACTACAACAACGAATAGAAAGCGCCTTTGTAGTAATAAAAAAAGAGAAATAAACCTGCATACGACAACAGTCGAAATTAGAAGAAGATGTCGTGAGTGTATACGTTGCCGAGGCGGACATTTTGAACAAAATTTGTAATAATTTAATAAACGATCAAAATAATTATTTTCGTCTTTAATTTCAAGAAATCCACATTGAAAAACGATAGGGAAAAGATTTTTACATTGCATAAGATAAATAATTTTTACCTGAAGGTATTTAACGTGCTATTCACACAAAAAGGGGCTATAAACACAAATTTCGCAAATCAGTCCGAGTAGAGTCGATGCACTAATTTAAGGAATTTGTGAAGTTGTTGTTATTATTTAAACAAGATTAGTATACCGTTTGAATGGGGATAGACTAGAGAAGTTTTGATAAAATCCGAAGATCGCTATCTCTTTTAAAAAAAAAATTATAGCCATGTAAACTTAAATGTTCAGTTCATTTTTAACTTTTCGGAAAACTTCAAAGCTGAATTAAAAAAAAACTAGATGATATTTGCCAGTAAATTTAGATTTTTTGCAACCCTACATCAATGCACGTCAAAACAAAATATTTACTTTGAGGCTACGTCTAGCAGTTTTTTTTTTAATCGAAATTAAATGATGCGATTTGGGTATTTTGGTGAAATTACTAAAAAAAATAATATAAAAGTAGCCGCCTGGCATGGGACGTGTTATGGGGGCTGAAAATATAGGAAATGACCCATTCTATCCGCCAAATCATTTTGGCACACTATGCGCCAAACACCCTGTATAATGTTTTCACCATCACGAAACTTCTCCATTGTAATGATTTATAATATTGATCTATTTACAGCATTTTTTTTATAAAAATTAATGAATAGTTTTATTTACATATAGTTTGAATTTTTTGAAACAATTACTTACATATTTGGCTAGGAATGACCTATTATCCTTTACTTCTCCTTTTTCTCTTGCTTCTCGTTCACGCTCAAGTTTTTGTATATAAGAAGCTGTATCAGGCCTGAAATAAAAAATGTAGTTTTTAGATTTAACAGTCCCCACAAATCACTGTGCAGCTGATAGCACATCAGACTATTTTTGTAGCAAAACCATACTTATTTATTTACAATATTCTAAGATGCCAGTTTTTGGTTAAAGTTCAAGATGATTGTATGTCAACAAAGTATTTTAATATTGTCACAAGTTTAATTAGAAGATAATTAGACAAGGCACTAAAAAAACTGCTATAAACTACTACAGCAGCATATGATTGAATTTTGCTTAGGAATGATGATACCTTACTTATTGTTTCTTTTATCATAAAATATAACAAGGTACAAATATTAAATGCTGTTGTGTCCTGAAAATTAACTGATATTTGTATTAAATTGAATGAATAATTAACAACTTACACTGGAGCTTGTTCAACATATCGGAGGTAAAAATTTGAATGTATTTTGTAATTATTGCTTCCATAAACCAGTGGTTGTGAAGCATTATCCACCTGGAAACTAACTGCCATTATGGCTCCATTAGGCAGAACCCAAGCATTGATTACATCTGAGAGGCCGCTGTCAAGAATGGCTTGTGCTTTTACAGAAGACAGAAACTCTGTGTCTTTGTTGTCAGCTGAGGTGCATGTAGTCTTAAGAGTGTAAAATCCGTCTACATCAGCTAATTCCTGTAATCAAGCAAGTTTTCATTACTGTTACACAAGTTTATAGCCTGACCAGGAACATAAAAACCCTGGCACAGAGGCGCTTCAATTGCATTTGATAGTGCAACACTGAGTACAGTCGTACATGTGTTAAATTAACAGGCTAAATTTATGTATCAGGATTCAGGATTACGGGCTAATTTGATATTTTCATAAATTAACGAAAAATATTATTAAAGATAACCTGGTTTAAATAAATTAAATGAAACCATCAATCGAGCTAGTAGGATTTATTTTATTATTCATCAATAATCAAATTCAGAACATGAATATTCAACTGCAATGTCTGCTTATGAACGCTTCAAACTCGGTACTTCTTTCCCAATTCCATAAAATTCAAAACTTAGAAAGTGACAAAAAACTTTAAAATAGGTAGTTGAAACAGACTACAGCTAATTTTCATAGTGGACTGTACCATACGATAAACATGTCAGTCAATTTGACAACCTTTGTCGGAAACATTATTCAATGAAAATATTGTCCGAACCCTTAGTATTTCTCTTCGACAAATACATTAACACATCGTGAATCACTTTTCTTTCACGATTGTAAAAATATTTTAGCAATTTAATTCACAAAATCAATTGCACACATTTAAAATAAAGTTTGTTTACACTTTGACAACAATAGACTGACATGCAAGGTGACATGTCAATGAAGTTTTCAGTTACTGTTGCCATTAAAAGAAATTAGTACCATTAGTTTTCCGCAACATGGCGAGGGTTTTTATGTTCCTGGTCAGGCTATAATATAGGTAGCTGTACAACAATGTTTATACTGGATTTCAAAGTCCAACAGAATAACCTTTAGACTTAACTTACCCTAAGCTCATCAATATGTTGTCTCCCAAATGTTATTTGATCAATTACAGATGTTCCAGCTCTAATACTCTTCAGGGAAATATTTCCCCGTTTACAATACTTTTCACTACCACAATTGAGAGAATGTTCGATCTTTATATTCAGCCACCCATCATAATCAATGCCCACCTAAAATTTGAGAAAAATATGAGTCAGAAGAACCTGGAAATTTTGTTATCATAAAAGATGCAATTTTTTTTATTTTTGACAGATTGCATTTCAACCACATGAGCTGAATGAGTAGATAGCTTCTACAATAACAATGTAGGAATTATAAAACTAAAATTAAATAATACTCACGGTGGAATGAATAATTTTTATTATGAAAACAGTCGCCAATAAGTAATTCATATTGACGAATCTAATAGTAGGCTAATGATGACGATATTCAACTGTAAGCTACTTCACTGGCAATCTAGAAAGATGATTTAGTCAAATTAATCTTAATCGTTTTTATCTTGTGTTATAACCAGTTTCTAATTACACAAACTAAAATCGACCGAAAATTTCCTAC